GCCGGCGGGAGCCAGCAGGTCTGGATGCTGCAGCTGCCCGACACCCCATGGCACTTGCAGGCTCGTTTCATGGTGGCTCTCACCGCCTGGGTGAGAAGGGGGAGAAGTTAGGAGCAGCAGAGCAAAACCAGGCTCTGTGGCACTTCTAGCTCAGGGGACACTGGGTCAGAAGTGGCTCGTGCTTGCCATGACTTCAGGTCCTTCCAAGATCCAACCTGATGCTCCTATTTCAGTTCCTGGAAAACATCTGTCTCTCTTTGCTAATTTAAAGGGCAGAGATAACAAGTGGCCACAAACTCTTGTCTCCAGCCCTTGCAGGAGCTGGTTCTCTGGGTCAGGGATAAAAACAACAACCACCCTGCCTTTGTCAGGTCGTGTCCTTCTCAGCTGCTCACCTCACTCACTGCAGCATCAACCCATCATCCCTCTCAGAAGTTTCATTAAAATGTGTGAAACTGCTTGGGAATAATCATACCCAACCTCTCTGCATCTCCTCCAGGCCAAGCACTTCACAGATATTATCTGCCAATCTCCCTCCGGTATTTTTAAGGTCCCAATCACTGGTATCTATGTGAGATTAAGACACACCCAATGAGATAGGTATGTTAAGTGTTGCCATCCTTGTTTTTACAGACAAGGAGGTTTGGCAAGATGCTGAGAGCCCGGGCAGGGAGCGGGGGGTGAGTCTGGCAGCCGGCTCAGAGAGGGGCCAGCTCACACCTGGTTTCCCCAGCCAAATAGCTTGGAAATGCATATTGCAAGAAAGGAAAGGTGGTTCTTGCTTTGTTTTCCAGAGCAGACAAGTGCTAGGCAAGTATAAACCCTGTGCGTTTCTGAATACGTGGTGTGTGTGAGCAGCTCCCTGGGTTGCAGGAGCTGGAAAATTGGGAACGACTCTTACTGCAGCTCCTTGGGTTCAGGTTTAGGGTCAGGTTCTGGCCATTATTTTTTCCCCACACAAACACTACTGTGGCTAGATTGCCACAGAGGGCTGGCAAAGGGGGCCTGAGTGGCCTACCAGGCTCTCAGCTTTTGTTTTCAGTATAGACATAATTTAATTACTATTATTACTATTTATTATTATACCGTTGTTGCTGTTATGTTTATTTATTATTCATTTTACTTACAAGTCTCCCAGCTTCATTGTTGTGCAGGTTAATCAGCGCGCGGGTATCGTGCCCGGTTTCCAGAGCGTCCACAAAGAGCTTGGAAATCCTCTCCCCAAACTCCACGTTGTCGCTGCAGCCTCCCCAGACCCAGCCACGACCACCTGCAAGACAGACGCAGGCTGAGAGCAGATCCACCCCCCCTCCCCCAGGACCAAATCCTGCAATCCCAGGGGTGCATGTGGGGCTGCAGACCCCGGGGGCACCTCACCCACGCGGCCGTTCCGGGAGTCATCGCAGCCGCAGCTCTCGAAGTCTCCCACGCTGCAGTTCCTGGTCAGGGTGTACATGACGCCGGCCGAGCTGATGGCGTGTACGAAGGATGTTTCCCGGGTAGCTTTGGGGAGAAAAGGGGGGGGAAAAAGCTGTCACATGCAAACATAGACATCCCTCCTGGTTCATCGGGAATGAAGATCTGCCACGCTGCAAAGGTGCAAGAAGGAAAAAGAACAGAACAGTTTGTGCCAAAGCTGAGGGTGCTACAGAAACTTAAATGTTGGTGGCTGGCGTCTTTTTCAGGCTTCAGCATCAAGGGTTTCAGCAATTTGGCACAATCTTATACAGGTGTCCATGCATGGGATGGGGATTTTTGGCAAGGGGAGGATCTTAAGGAGATGCCCCGGTCCTGCTCTGGCCAAGGTTAGTTCTCACTCCTTTCTCCTGGCATTCATTTTGTCTCTGTCCTTTCCTGCTTGGGGGGTGTGTTTGTGCTTTGATCTTGCCTGCTGGGGAAAATCATCATTGATCTTGTTTCAGTCGGTGGTTGAACCTGTGCTAACAGCTGTCTGCACCCACACTTCTCATTTAGTTTCTTTTTTGGCTTTCCTAGCACATTCAAATAGAGATGCTGCTCTGGGAAAAAAGAGATTTCTGCTTGTCGAAACAGTCAGTATTCAAATACATTCACAATTTCTTTATGAAGACACTTCCTTAGTGTGTGTCTCTGGTTTCTCCCTCTCTCCTGCACTTCTCCCTGTTGCAAGCTCAGGTGCACCAGCACTGTGCTCCCTGGGATGCTGCATGGAAAGTGGCTGGACAAGCCCATGGAGCAGCACTGCAGAAAGGACTGAGCCCTAGCCTGGGATTCCCAGAAAACTGCTAGTGCCATTTATCACATCAAATAAGTACAGATGGAGAAAAACAACCAGGATTTCTGGAACACTGAACCCTTCCTCCAGCAGCTGGCTTAACCAGCTGCCCCAGCTCTTTCCAGAGCGCATCCCAGCTCCCACCCAGAGGTGTCCCAGGATGGGGATGCTGGTGTGGGCAGGTAAAGGTGCACTCACCGCTGCGGAGCCGGTTGTGTGTGGAGAGCTGCAGGGCACTCTCAGGGCAGTTCCAGCGCTCCCACCCAAACTGGAACTTGCACTCCTCCATCCCGCTGTGCGCCCCGGCTGCCACGCTGCTGGAGTAGGTCAGGTAAGCCTGGCGTGGGAAACAGCAGGGTGCAAATCTGTTTTACTGGTTAGCAATGGAAACGGACATAAATGGGTCAAGAGTCCTTTCCCTCGTGGCTTGGCAGGACTTGGATATGATAGGCACTGGGAAACCTGGTTTCTTGGAAAATCCTGATTTTTCCCATTTACAAAACAAAATTGCTCTACTTTAATTCCTGACAGTCCATGTGTTAATTACCTTAGGTCCTGTCATCAGAAAGTTGTTCACAGACCTGAAAAAAAGAGAAGAGAATGAATCCCAGAGCTCACCGCAGGCTGAGGAGCATCCCTGAAAAAATGCCCTTTCCACTGTGTTGGACCCTACCAGCCTGCTGCGTGGAGAATGGTGCTGTAGATCCCCACGATGGAGAGGATGAGGAAGGTGCTTCTCTTCATGGCTGTCCCAAGGAGTGGGGTTGGATCCCTTCTCTGATCTCCGCTCTGCAGGTCCTGAGGGAGCAGGGCTGCCTCCCTGTGCTCCTTCCCAAGGTGAGCTATTGGGATGGAGAAAAGCTGTGGGAACCTACAACCCTGATATTTATAAGGTGAAGTTGTGAATAGTCAAAACCCCCCCATTCATTTGCTACCCAATGACTTAATGTGGTAAAAAAGCTCCCGCTCCAATGGGTGACAAGGAACCGCCTAAGGTTGCACTTCAAAAGGCGGTGCGGTGTCCCCGGGAGCGGGATGGTCTGAGGCAGAGCAAACTTCCCTAACAATGGGACACTTTTAACTCTCGTCCCCACCGCCAGCCATCCCTTTCTCTTGGCCTCAAGTCTGCTTGCCTTCTCCTTTTCATCCCCTGCTTGCCAGCAGAGGCTCAGTCCCTGCGTCCCTCTGAAACAACAAGCTGATGCATTTCTATAGTTCCCCTGCTATCTCCCTGCTCCCTCCTATGAGAACTCCCTGAGGAGCTTTAACAACAGTTCTGTAAAGATCTATAGGGGATAGACCTCCCAGCTCTTCTTGATTTGAAGAGATGAGTTTAACGACGGGGCTTTTTCCCCTCCTCGCCTCTTTAGGACGAAAGTTTCTGCGTTTCCATCCTGATAACAGCGCGCACGGCTCGGGAGTGTTTGGAAATCTCTCTAATTTACGCGGCTGCAGCTTGGGAACACTGTGTGAATCATTTATGTGGTTTGCTCCAACACTGTAATTAGGGGAACAGTTTTCTGGGGTTAGCAATTTCCCGAGGGTGAAGGCTGCTGCAGTGAGGGCTTGGCTGCCTGCTGGCTCTGCAGGCAGGAGCGCTGCCCGTGCCCCTGTGCTGGGCAAGGGGCCTCCGTGGCTGCTGAGCCATGGGCTGTGCTCAGGAGAGGAAATTCCTTATCAGGGGAAAGCCAAAAAAGCCTCTTAATAGTTACGGCTGATATCGTTAAGGGCTGTAAGGAGCTGAAATGTTGCCGATGGAGCAATAGTGAGATGGTGTTCGTGGAAACTTCTTGATCTGTTTTGCTGTGGCTGAATGGTCCCAGCTCGGAGCTGGCTCATCCCGGGCAGGGGTCCTGCCTGCTGAGGGGGGGTGCCAAGTGTGAAAGCAGTGCTGTGCCATGCCATTCCAGCCGTGCCAAGCAGCCCCTGGCTCTGCCAGGCACTGCCCCCTGCACACAGGTACAGCATCCACCTGGCACTGGCTCCGTGGCAGGGCCTTCCCCTCCTCCTCTCAGCTCCCTTGCTGGCCCCTGGGTGCACCCATCTCCTGCTGTCAGTCGCTGGTCCTGCCAGGGGCCTCAGGAAGGTGCTGCAGAGCTGGGGTTCAAGGAAGCAGGGCTGCAGGTGGCACTTGGGGGCTGTGCCATGAGCAAAAGGGGCCACACGGGGACAAACCCTGTCTTTGCACCTGAGTGAGCAGCCCTGGCCGGTGGCAGTAGGGTCAGGCCAGGGTTGGAGGCTGTAGCTCCAACACCTGTGCCAAGTGCTTGGCTGTCTTGCCATGAAAGGCATGAGAGTGTGACAGGGACGGTCACTGCCCGGGGCCACACACGGCAGCCGGGCTCAGGTCCCAGGCTGCTGGGACTGTCACCTCTCCCTCCTGCCCAGGAGCAGGCAGACAAGCTCCTTGCCAAGCACAGAGGCTATCCCTGTCCTGCTGCCCATCGGCACATTAGGGAGCCAGGGGAGAATCCTTTCCCTCCACACCCTACAGAAAGGAAACCTGGAGTCTGCTGGGTAAAGCCGCAAACATCTGTTTGCAGCTGGAGGATTAAAATTGCAGATTGGTTGAAAAGCAGGGATGCAAAATACCTTCCAAGTGAGCATAAAGCTGGTGTAGACCCGCCAGCATGGCAAAACTCTCTGTGAGTCAGCATTTTAATCATTACCATCCCAAACAGATCCTACTTGTTAGAGCTGTCAAAGGACAATGAGGAATGAAGTGTTTCCCATGTATCAGTGAAGTTCATTGACTAAAGCCCATGCATGTGACTTGGAAATCTGCTGTGCATTTTCTATGTGCACCCAGATAATTTGGGCTGTCCCCAGGGGCATATTGATATTTTTTTGGTTTTGTTTTTCTTGTCTGAGAGAGCTTGTAGAGCTCAAATAATGTTGGTGTGTCTGCTATGTCAGTTCACACATGATATTCCTATCACATGCCAGAAGAATAACAGCATCTCTGGGCATGAAGCTCTGCCCTGAGCAGTCTCTGCAGTTGGCAGGATCACACGGCTATTTGCCTGGGTTATTAAAAATGTCTTTTCCAATTAAAGTCATAGGGATCTTAAAAGCCACTGGCAATGTTGTCACTCACACTAGTTGTCAGCAAACAAAGTGGCATGTTGGGACAAGCCTTCCTGTGCTGCTGCAGGTTTTTTTCCTGGCAAGAGGAAGCCAGAGCTTCTGAGGGGTTATCCAGCCTGACATACCAATAGGACTGGAACAACCCCAATCATGTTAAAAAAAAAAAAACAAACAACAAAAAACTTTGGTGTTGCTGTCTTGAGCAATTCTGCATCTATAGAGTGATTCCTGTGATGTTCTTGCAGTAAAAGAGATTGAATAACAGTCCTCTCTGTTTTACAGTGGGGAAACTGAGGCACAGAGCTGGGCA